TGTCCTGAGTCATGTGTGTTTGGATGGATAACCCCTTAGACTTGCAAAAGTCCTCCGAGGTTAAGGATGGCTCATGCCCTAAATTATCGGTGGTGGCCGAATCGACTGAAACCTGACCAGTGACTAGGCATCTACCATTCAAAACGGGGATTTGTTTTGGAAAAATTCCAGCGTATAAACCTGACTAGTGACAAGGCATCTACCATTCAAAACGGGGATTTGTTTCGGAAAATTTCCAGCGTATTACTTGGAGTGCCGATTTGGTGTCACAGACTTAATTAAATATCTCTATCTTCTTAAAGAATCGAAACAATTGAGGATAGTCTATTTGATGTATCATATTATATCAATACGTTACGTGAGAAGTAGGAGCTAGACTCTTTGGTTTGGTGCGGCTGACACGTCCTTGAGATTGAACCATTAATTTCAATTTGCTAGACATAGATTCCAATGAACGGACTTGGGGAATTTTAAAATGAGAACAACTTATGGACAGGAATGCAACAATTGCGAGCCAACGTGACACATTTCTCGGTCCAAATCAGAGTAGCAATTCCCGTGATTCTGTAGTGTGGTAGTGGCCAAAAGTCTCCCTACGGGGAAAAAAAAAAAAAGAGGGGAAGAGAATGATTGTCCCCATGTTATTCAGAAAGTGCAAATCTGATGGCAGTGAACAAATACACACATATATATGGGAAAATTTCAAATGGGCATGAAGTGCCTTCATATTTTCAAATAAAGATCTGAAATGGATCTTGTTTTAAATAAGGATCCGAAGTGTCATCATTTTGTCAAATAAGAGCCTAACCTCACCAACTACTCAAATGCATTTTCATTTTTTTATTTTTCTATATTTTTTTATTTTCTTTTTTCCCATTTCTTTTGTTTTCTCCGTCACCGGCTATTGCTGGCTGGCGAGGGCCCAGCGACCCTTGCCAGTCACTAAGTAAGGGCCCAGCCGACTATTGGCGAGGGTCGCGGCCCTTGCCGGCCGCAGGTGAGGCGACCCTTGCCCAAATCTGGCGAGGGCTAGCCCTCGCCTATGGCCGTCGAAGGCGACCTCGCCTAGGTAGGGCGAGGGTTACCTCACCCAGGCGATCGTGGGTCTTGTGCAAGGTGACCCTCGCTCTACCTAGGCGAGGCCGCCCTCGATGGCCACAGGTGAGGGCCGGCCTCGCCTGGGCAAGGGTCGCCCTCGCTTGCCGCCAAAGAGTACCGCGACCCTCGTCGGCCATCACTGGCCGACGATGGAGAAAACAAAGAAATGGGAAAAGAGAAAAGAGAAAAGAAAAAAAATGGAAAAATAAAAGAACGAAAATGATCTTGATTAGTTGGTAAGGTCATGCTCTTTTTTGAGAAAATAATGACACGTCATATCCTTATTTGAGAAAATAAGGGTACTTCATAAACTTATTTGACACAATGTCCACTTCAGGCCCTTATTTGAGAAAATGAGGGCACTTCTGGCCATTATTTAGATTTTTCCCTATATAATTCATACATAGTGATCATAAGAGCTTTCTTACACAAAAAAGTCTTAAAATGGAAACATGAATATGTTTATTGAATAAAGTTACATGCAGAAAATATAAATTGATTATGTGTCATTATTTAAAATCTGATTGTGCGAACTAGCCTTTTACATAATAAAAATCAATCGAAATAGGATTCATGTTAAATACGCTGTCAATGTAAAAGCCTTTTTTACATAAGTAGTCTCAAAATGTAAAAACCTATTTATGGATTAAACCTACTTGTTAAAAATTAAAATAGTATGTGTCATTCTATAAAACCTGCTTATATAAAGAGTGCCATGTCCTTCTGGTGAGGAACTTTGGCAGCATTCTCTAATTCAATGACATCTTCTGTCGGCCATTTGGCTTGTATTATTGTGCTCTTTTGCTTTTATGAGCCATTACTTTTAGCTTGTTAAATCTTACCTTTCTGTAAAGCATTCCATAAATGCTCACTATAATTGGATCATGTAAAAGTTTGGAATATCCTCAATCTACACTATATAAGATTAACTTCGGCCAAAAGTGGGATAAGAGTTGACTAAGAGTCAATTGTCATATACCAATGATCTTCTCAATCTCATTTCTCTCTTTCCTCTTGCGTGACATGTATACTATTCGAGAAGAGTCCTCAATAATTTCATACATGATTTCACACTTTCAAACGTGATCATGTCTCACGTTGCAGGTGAAAACAGTTCCCTCCTTGTTTTTACTAATTCCATCAATTAACTTGCCATCTAAATTTTTCCTCTTCATTTTCCTTAGTTTTTCAAAGATGAAATGAATGAATTCCATATTCAGTTAATTATTAACTTTTTAGGAAAAAAATCCGATAAGCTTTTGAGAATACCCACATTATGGTAAATGTATTTAAAAATGTTTAATTAACTGAGGATGACGACGTTCTCATTTTATGTGGTAAAGTTAAATTTGTTGATGTATCACTTTTATAGGGACACATTAGCGCAATAGAGACTCGAATTATGTTTGGCATGTTAAATACGCTGTCAATGTAAAAGCCTTTTTTACATAAGCAGTCTCAAAATGGAAAAAACCTATTTATGGATTAAACCTACTTGCTAAAAATTAAAATAGTATGTGTCATTCTATAGAACCTTCTTATATAAAGAGTGTCACGTCCTTCTGGTGAGGAACTTTGGCAGCATTCTCTAATTCAATGACATCTTCTGTCGGCCATTTGGCTTGTATTATTGTGCTCTTTTGCTTTTATGAGCCATTACTTTTAGCTAGTTAAATCTTACCTTTCTGTAAAGCATTCCATAAATGCTCACTATAATTGGATCATGTAAAAGTTTGGAATATCCTCAATCTACACTATATAAGATTAACTTCGGCCAAAAGTGGGGTAAGAGTTGACTAAGAGTCAATTGTCATATACCAATGATCTTCTAAATCTCATTTCTCTCTTTCCTCTTGCGTGACATGTATACTATTTGAGAAGAGTCCTCAATAATTTCATACATGATTTCACACTTTCAAACATGCTCGTGTCTCACGTTGCAGGTGAAAATAGTTCCCTCCTTGTTTTTACCAATTCCATTAATTAACTTGCCATCTAAATTTTTCCTCTTCATTTTCCTTGGTTTTTCAATGATGAAATGAATGAATTCCATATTCAGTTAATTATTAACTTTTTAGGAAAAAAATCCGATAAGCTTTTGAGAATACCCACATTATGGTAAATGTATTTAAAAATGTTTAATTAACTGAGGATAATGACGTTCTCATTTTATGTGGTAAAGTTAAATTTGTTGATGTATCACTTTTGTAGAGACACATTAGTGCAATAGAGACTCGAATTATGTTTGGCATGTTAAATACGCTGTCAATGTAAAAGCCTTTTGTACATAAGCAGTCTCAAAATGGAAACACCTATTTATGGATTAAACCTACTTGCTAAAAATTAAAATAGTATGTGTCATTCTATAAAACCTTCTTATATGAAGAGTGTCACGTCCTTCTGGTGAGGAACTTTGGCAGCATTCTCTAATTCAATGACATCTTCTGTCGGCCATTTGGCTTGTATTATTGTGCTCTTTTGCTTTTATGAGCTATTACTTTTAGCTAGTTAAATCTTACCTTTCTGTAAAGCATTCCATAAATGCTCACTATAATTGGATCATGTAAAAGTTTGGAATATCCTCAATCTACACTATATAAGATTAACTTCGGCCAAAAGTGGGATAAGAGTTGACTAAGAGTCAATTGTCATATACCAATGATCTTCTAAATCTCATTTCTCTCTTTCCTCTTGCGTGACATGTATACTATTTGAGAAGAGTCCTCAATAATTTCATACATGATTTCACACTTTCAAATGTGCTCGTGTCTCACTTTGCAGGTGAAAACAGTTCCCTCCTTGTTTTTACTAATTCCATTAATTAACTTGCCATCTAAATTTTTCCTCTTCATTTTCCTTGGTTTTCAAAGATGAAATGAATGAATTCCATATTCAATTAATTATTAACTTTTTAGGAAAAAAATCCAATAGGCTTTTGAGAATACCCACATTATGGTAAATGTATTTAAAAATGTTTAATTAACTAAGGATAATGACGTTCTCATTTTATGTGGTAAAGTTAAATTTGTTGATGTACCACTCTTATAGGGACACATTAGCGCAATAGAGACTCAAATTATGTTTGGAAGACATTTTGAGCCGGCAATCAAAAACAAAAGTAAAGAAAAAAGAGGTGAAAAGAATGATTTTCTCCACGTTGTTTTGAAAGTACGACCTAATTTGGCTGTGAATAAAAAATATATTATAGATATATATATATATATATATATATATATATATATATATATATATATATATATATATAAAACCTATATCGTGATCGTAAAAGATTTTATTGTCATAAACAGTCTTAGAATGGAAATAAAACTTGTCAATGAAATATAGAGTTACATGCAAAGTAAAAATTGGTTATGTGTCATCATCTAAGACCAGCTTGTGCAAAGAAATTGTGCACCGCCATTATATAGAATAAAGCCTGTTAAAATGGAATTCATAATATGTACATCTTTAGTGTGAAAGTCTTTTTTTTTACACAATCAGTCTTAAAATGGAGATATAAACCTGTTTATGGAATAAATCTACATGCTAAAAACAAAATTGTATATGTGTAATTCTATAAAACCTGCTTATGCAAAGAAAATTTTATACCGTTAGTGCACTCGGAAAAAAAAATCCTTAGAAATATGTTGTTTGCAAATCAGGGGATGGTGGAAGAAAAGAAAAAAGTAACGATGTGACACTAGTATTTTTTTTTTGAAGTAAAATTTCCAAATTTACACTTTTGCGAATCAAATGAATATTCCATTAAATTTTTGATGTCATAAAATTGGGAAAAGGAGAATGGTACATCATCATCCACAGCTGGAACTTTGTCTCCATCCACAAGTCGATGTATAAAAGGAGAAGATCCATATAGGATGGAGCTCAACTTCCACTTCAACCCCGCGAAAAAAATCTCTGCTTTAGATTTTTGCATGCTTATGAGACGGCACGCCAAAGAATCCACCATGGATACCCAAGGCAGTTCGGTTGTGGAACCATTGACAGGTTTGTTCTGATTCGATCCCACAAGGCAATGGAAAAATTGAAAAAAGTTTCCGTTTTTTGTGTGTTAATTTCGAAGTAATATAGGCAATATCTTTGATAAATAATTTATTGAAAGTTACCACATTTCTTTATTTCATTGCTTAACAAGTCGAACCTAACATAATTTGCGTGGAATCTGAGTTGAAGTTCAGTCTTGAACTTTTCGGTTTTTTCAATTCAGTCCTAAACCTTTGTGCGGAATTTCGATATAGTCATTCTGGCCAATTTTCACCCAAGATCGATGACATGGCGGCGTACTAAGACAGCCGGCAATGACTGGACCGCCATATTAACGATTTCGGGCAAAAAAAGACCGGAAGGACTATATGGAAAATTCGCGCAAAGATTTAAGACTAAATTGAAAAAAATGAAAAGTTTAGGACCAACTTAGTGTCCGTACAATAAGTTTATGACTAATTTGGCAATTTTCTTCCCTTAATGACTGGTTTATTAAAATTAATTACTAGAAAATTTCCTCTTATCAGAGAGTTTTGCCCAAACAATCACCTCTTAGGGACTAATTATTTCCTATCTTTACTTAAAATTCAAATTGAATTTGCAACTGATTGTCCACAATGCAATTTCATCGAGAGCTAAGGGCAAAACCAATGGGTTTTGAATAGTCAATTACTTCTCATTAGGAAACTACTCGAGACGAAACCTTTAAAGATATGATCCTCGAACTAGTCAATTCACTTAGTCATCTCCAAAAGAGAAATCAGGTAATGTTATTATGAGCCCACGATAGCTTGTCAATAGAAATGGTTGACACTATTATGACAAAGTGTAAAGATAATATTAAAAGAGAAAATTCACTAACGAACACATTCCTCTAGATACATGGATGGTGGCACGTTCTTGCGACAAAAGGAAAGAAAAAATAATATAGATTTTGTAAGAAAAATCAGATCAATTCTCTTTCCCAACCGTTAAGTCAAGCGATAAAGTTTAATCAATACACTTTATTTAACAAAAAAATCCATGCAATGCATTGGTATGATAGTAGCAATAAATGTTATAAATTTATATCCCAGATGAATTGTAACTTAAATAAATCGTATTAGTTGATGAAATCTATAGGATTAAGTTAATTCATTTAATTTTATTTTTGTACAATTCTGTTATAATTATTACGTGAAATTGTGGAGATGGATAAAATTGTGTATAGAAGTAGCTTATAATTATTCCATTAAATTTAATGTTAAATTTTTTTGTTTAGAATTTTACCATCTAAGTTTAACACAGAAAATTCCATGCAATGAACGAGCCTCTTACTAATCATGTTTAGATGATCTAAAGCATACAAAGTGCAATTACTTTTTCTAAGTTTACTTATGTTCCTTTTTCTTTTTGGTAACAAAGAGGTCCGCATAGACGTAAACTCATAAGGCATGGCAATTAAGAAAGCTTCCCAAGACGGTCGCAAACCAACTTCATTTGAAGACTACCAAGGGATCACGAATCAATCAAAAACTAAAGGTTTGTCATTTCGAACTTTTAACTTTCGTTTTTCATAAAGCATTGTTTTTCATGCATTTGACTTTTTTCACTCCAAAACATTTTGAAAATATAATTTATGTTCATATTTTTTTGGTAACAAAGAGGATCCCATAGAAATAAGTTCAGAAGGCCTGACAATTGATAAAGCTTCTCAAGATGGTGACAGACCAACTTTCTTTGAAGTGTACCTGAGGATCACGAATCAATCAAAAGCTTCTGAAGATAGTGGCAGACCACTTGAAGGTTTGTCACTTTGAACTTTTAATTTTTTTTTTCATTAATCTTTTCTAATAGTTTTTTAACTTTTTTAATCCTAAACATTTTAAATGTCGCAACATACAAATGGTTACATTTCAATTCAAATATAATGTTTTCTAATTTTTGAACTATCAACAATATTTGGAATTATAATTGAGAAAGCCCAAAACAAAAAACTTTTCACACTCAAAGAGTAAACCAACGTGCTCATAGAAAAAGGTACGTTGAGTAAACAACAGCCCCTTCGCTTGCATCTACATTTCATCAAGAACTTTGAGCAGGTGCAATGGTCACAGAAATGCGTAGCCTGAGGACTTTTGATGTGCAATTTTTGCAGTTCTGCCAACACCAGTGGTCATTGAAAAGAATCGATCATTATTTGTAGCAGCACAGAAAGGTGATTGGAAAGCTGCCGAGAAAATCATCAATAAAGATCCCGAAAAATTGATGGCCAAAGTTATGAGCGTAAAAGATGAATCCTTTACCGTGCTCAATGTTGGGATTATGGCCTCACAAGATCAATTGGTCAAGAACCTCATCAAGCGCTTCCCTCGTGAATATAAAGATTTCGATTTCAGTCGTTCCCTTGAGAGTGCTGCCTTGAGAGGAAGAATAAAAATGGTAAGGCATTGGTAAACCATGTTAAACCTGAAACTGTACGCAATGTCCTGAAGTATACTACTAAACATGCTCCTAAGCAAAAGGAGGTTATATGGTATCTGGCCAATTGTATAAAATCCGCTCCAATAGATGGTACCATGTCCAAGCTAATTAAGGCCGACCATTCGGGTAACTAATTAGACTCACTCATCTCATTTCCTTCACTGTTTACTTGGATTAAATTTCTGTTGTTGTGTCCCAAAAGACATAGCCTTGTATTTGGCTTGTCGACACCAAGGCTCAGCGTCACATGACAAAAACAAGAGGATCTTGGAATGCTTGGCGAAGGTAGAGTCTAACTTTCATAGTGGAGCTAGACTCAATTTTTGGGAAAAATCTACCGGCAAATGTAGGTACTTCTTGCGCTTCTTTTAGCATATGCACACAATCCGAGTAACTCTATCCATGAAGACAGAGTCTCTAATCATTCTATCTATTCCCAGTTTTTGGTATCCCTCTATGTCTGGTGGATACATCATTCGACAACTCCAAAGACACGAAGACGGCTCGAGGTATTTCTGATAATTAGCTTAACGTCTAGACTAACACATCAAAAGCATATCATTTAGGAATCCCATTGACAAAAAGGTTAAGGGACAATGACTACATCTATGTACACAAATTAATATCTAAACCATAATGTATATCACAAATTAATGTCTAATGTAACATTTGTAAACTTAGTCGAGAAATCTTACTTGATGTAAAAATGCCGAGTAGAATTGTTGAGAATTGTAGAATTGGATCTCAGATCATAAAGGTTGTTGGATCCAACTTGTCTAGCATATTTAAGCAATATTAAATTTGGTTATTGTCATATATATATCATTTTGTTCATCATCAATTCCTAATTTGCTAACATGATGCTTGTCTCCTCTTAGTGGTGGTAGCACTTAAGCGGTTCAAGATATCACTCCCGAATCTTGCCACAACACCAGGTACATGAAACTGCTATGGCATCCATAGAAGAAATACCTTATTTCATCCATGGGTAGAGATTCCTAAATTTAAAGTGGAAATTGATATTTTCGGTATATCCCTTTGAGATCATAGGCAGTTTGCATATTACGATATGATTTGATAAGATTCAATTCTAAGTCTAAACAGTAGATATATATTAGGGGAATCTGTAAAAATAATCAATCGAAATCAGATCTATTGATCCATCGCTAAATCTACCAATTTTTCAAAAAAAAAGGACACTTTTTTTCCTCATGACATTGGGTGTTCATCGATAGATCAATATGTTCTGTGGCGCATGCATTTTGATTTTCAAGCCATATAAAGTTTGCTTCTCGACACCTATCTTAAAATTTATGATTTTCTTCTCGACTTCTATTTATACATAAGAACATGGGGCAAATGTTAAAGCCTCTTTAACCTTTTGATTCTTCATTGTTTGGAAAATTGCTAATCTGATGTACATGCAGCACTTTTCATCAAAAGCATTGGATTGAGGCACAAATGCTCAATTGAGTTAGCAAAACTAGTTCTTACCCAGATGAATGCTCATATGAATACCGAGATGAACACTGAAATACTTGAGCTTCTTTCAAGAATTGTCCTCGACGCTGCATCTCGTGGAATCTCTGAAATTGTCAAGTTATGTTTCGAGCATTTTCCAGAGTTGATGTGGACTGAAAATTTCATAGAAAAATTGATGGAAGAAGTTGTGAATGGACGGCATGTGGAGCTGTTTAGACTTGTGAGCGCACACTGCGAAATTCCACTATTGACTGATGATAAGACAAGGAAAGACATCCCAACGAGGAAAGACATCTTGATGAAGGCAGTAGTAGATTGGTCACCAAGATGTCGGCCCAAAGATGTTTCTGGAGCACCTTTTCTTATGCAGAGGGAGCTCCAGTGGTTTAAGGTCGGTTCGCCTTATTTGTTTGCCACTTATTTGTGCTTTTTAATTTATAATTACATTGATAGGCGTCCTTTATTTTTCTAAAGGTGCTAGAAGACACGAGCCATACTTCTTCTAAAAGTATGAAATTGAAGGTCAGTTCACCTTATTGTTTGCCACCGTTTTGTGCTTTTTTATTTATATTTACATTGATAGGCATCCTTAATTTTTTAGAGGGCCTTGTCAGACACGATCGATCCTGCTTCAAAATCTAGGAGATCGCCAAAAGATAATAAAACATACTGGGATGATTTTGTAGAAAAACGCAAACAATTGCTCATAGAGGCGGGGCAATGGATGAAGGATACGTCATCATCTTGTAGTCTCGTCTCGACTCTCATCATTACGGTAGCTTTTGCTGCGGCTTTTACAGCACCAGGAGGCAATGATGGTAGTACAGGGATGCCGATCTTTCTGAAAAGGGGCTCATTCATGGTATTTGCAGTCGCAGATGCTTTCGCTCTCTTCTCTTCTGTCACTGCCACCTTGATGTTCTTGGCTATCCTAACTTCACGTTATGCTGCAGAAGATTTTCTCTACTCACTACCGGAAAAAATGATACTGGGCCTTACTTTTCTCTTCCTCTCTTTGGCCTTTATGCTAGTGGCATTCAGCTCTGCTCTTACTATAATCCTGAGTGAACGATTGACGTGGATTTACATCCCAATTACTTTGTTGGCTGCCATCCCCTTCGTATTGTTTGCAATCCTACAGCTTCCCTTGTACTTTGAAATGGTCGAATCCACCTATTGGCCTCGCCTCTACCGTCCCTTGAAGCTTTGGAAATGATCTATGTTATTATTGGACAAGGACATTTGTGATGTGATATTTGTTTGCATTATGACTGTGTGTGAGATATGACTATCATGGTGGTTACTTATAATAAAGTTTAATGTAGGCTGGCAAATGCACACCTTGTCTCAATGTGTTATTCGATATTCCCCCCTCCCCACCTCCCCCCCCAAACAGTGAGCAATTCCTTCGTTACTCATTGTCGTATTAAGGTGAACCCAATTTTCAAAAGAATTGGCAACATAGCCATCAATATCCAAATAGGGCCATCCAATCAAAAAAAGCAACGATCCACACAAATTCGCTACACTACACAAGATGGCCATCCAACTAGTGGCCCAACACAAGGAACTTCTGATGTAGCAACCTGGAGCAAACAACTATTTCAGTTCAATGGAAATTCAGCCTTCGAAAAAAATCTTCACCAACTGCCCATACTTGCACCTCATCCTCTCGTCCAACTCTTATCAATCTTCACCCACTGCCTATACTTGCACCTCATCCTCTCATCCAACTCTTTGGCTTTGACCTTTGCCATCTTAACTGTGCTGGCCATCGATTTCGCCTGCACTTTTGCTATCCTCATGCCCCGCTTCTTCCCTACCGTATCCCTCTCTACACCCAACCCTTCGTACTCCCTCACCAGCGACTATGCATGGTGCACGTCAGCACCAACACCACCAATTCCATCAGCAACATGGCCATCAAAACCCTGCACTCCTGCCACACCAGGACTTTAGCCTCTCTCAGGTCTCTCTATGATCTCAGCAGTGAAAGGCTTGACATTTCTTTGGTGAACAGCGCCAGGACGCGGAGGACATGGCCAGACAGCAAAGCTAGAAGGATCCAGATGTGGGTCAAGAAGTAGAAGCTGGTGAGCTGGGAGTAGAAGCCCACGAAAGAGGAGACAAGTGACATGGACGATATTATGAGGAACACAAGACTGAGCGAAGTTAGGGTATTCTGAGGAGGATTATAGTAGCGAAAGATGTTGTGGAGAGGATGAACAAAACATGTTGAAATAGTTTGTTATCACGAAAAGAGGTGACTCTTGGTTATGAAAAGTGGTGATGGTTCATGTTGCGGAAGCAAACGATCAAAGAATAAAATTGACAAAATAAGAAAATAAATCGGACACCAGATTTATGTGATTTAGTCGTAGTGACCTACGTCCACAGAGAGAGCAGCAACGACGAATTCTACTATAAATCAAGCAATACAACGGAGATTACAACTACACTCAAGTTACTCAAACACTCTAAGTGTTTCCCAAACCCCAATTACACCCAATAACTCATGCAGTGTTTAGCCCTACAATTTCTCACGAGATAATATCTCAATCTCACGAAAAAATTATACACAAATCTTATCACAAGATTTAATCGACTTCAACACTAAAAGCTCTTGTGTAATTGCACGAACGAAAATCAACGGAGAAAACCCACTTAAGCACTCAGATGGTGCTTCATGACCACATCAACAACGGCGCTACCTCTTCTTCATAGCCATGGTGATATTTGATATATATACACAGAAGCAAGACCCCACAAAAGATAAACCGCATAACACCCAAAGCTCGTCTATCTAGCAATTCCCAATCAGCTTGCTGTTAGCTTGCTTCATCGTCTCTGGCTTCTCCCCAGATAGAGGCAAGTGCAGTTTCATCTGATATAGATGATCCTTAATCTGCATCTTCCAGAAACCAAAATGCTTTCCATCAAATTTGTCAATTCTTACTTTTTATTCTTCTGTTGCCATCGATTCGCTTTAATTTAGCCAAATCTAGCTCTGATACCAATTGTTGCAGAAGAAACGATTTGAACAATAAAATTGATAGAATAAGAAAATAAATTGGACATTGGATTTACGTGATTTATTTGTAGTGACCTACGTCTACGGGGAGAGTAACAACGAATTCCACTATAGATCAAGCGATACAATGGAGATTACAACTACACTCGAGTTATTCAAACACTCTAAGTGTTTTTCAAGTCACAATTACACTCAATAACTCACGCAGTGTTTAGCCTCATAATTCCTCATGAAATAATCTCTCAATCTCACAAAAGAATTATACACAAATCTTATCACAAGATTTAATCGACTTCAACACTAAAAGCTCTTGGTGTAATTGCGCAATAGCATGGGCAAATAATATCTTAAGGACAGTAATCGTCATCATGCATCAAAGCATCAAAGCATCAAAGATTTATAACTACCACTCTATCTTCATCAACAATAAAATTTCCCCAACAAAACGAAGTTTAAGCAATAGAGTAGGAGATTCGAGAATGAACTAATGGGGCTAACAATACAACCTAGAGGGGGTGAATATGTGATTTTAATTAATCTTGACAAATTTAAAGCGGAAGTAAAGTCGTCAAAATTAGAGACTGAACAACAACAATAGTTCAATGCAATTTATCAGTGTGCAAAGGTATATCAAAATAATCAACAAGAGTTTTGGGATAAGAGAATTTGCACATAGAATTTATAGTAGTTGGGCTTAGAACAAATCTACGTTCACTCTCTCAAGCTGACAACCTACTGGCTGGATTTCACTAATATATCAATAAGAGGTTACAAAATATGAGTGTTCACTTCTCAAGTGTGTGATTGATCTCTCTAACTCACATTATTACTCTTACAATGACTCTCAAAGATCAAAATTTTAGCTCACGAAAGACATGTATGAAGTTCTCTTGCTTTGGGATTTTCAATTCTGATCTCATATCACTTCTCCTCGGCACCTTGGTCTTCTTTTATACTCCTCTACTTCTAATCTACCCATTGGACAGTCTTCAGAGGATTGTCTTCCAATCTACCCATTAGACGTAACTATATGAAGAAAATTGAGTAGCCATTGAAGGACAAAATCCGAATCTCCATTAATTCTGGTCGTCTATACAACCAAAGTCTTGATTTCCATAAGTAGAGATCTTCAATTTTGGAAAGTTTCTTGTCTCGAGATTGATTGCCAATCAATCAAAATGTTTTGCATATTAAATTGTTGCAAAGCAATCTTCAAAAATGAGAGTCAATCAAATTATCTTAAGAAAGAAATCCAAGCCAGATTACTAGCTGTTATGAGTCTTGGATTTGTGTCTGAATAAGATTAAAAATAGTTTCCTGATTCTGAAGTTTATCTTCAGTATAAAGTCTCAATGTATTTTCCCTTGAGCAGGTTCCACACCATGATGATACTAAGCTTACAATGATAGAGTCTGAATATGTTTGAAGATATCCATACACAAATCTTTCGATATCCATCTGTTACTTGATGATGTTCATACAATTACTTTGATGACATCCACGAAGTAACAGTATATAAACCACGATATCCAGACAGACTTAGAGTTGGGTCTAGACGTAGTCTCTTTAAAGAGTAGTTCCTTAATCACCAAAGCTTCAAGGCATTTATTGGACTTTAAAGAACCATATGGATGGTTTTGTCAACTTCAAAACTTGTTTGGAGGTTTTCTCAACATGAACAAGAACTTCTCAACTTCATGGCAGACATTTTCTTTTTGGTTTTTGGGGGTCTATTTGGGTGTTTGTATTTGTGTACATCAAGAGGTGAGAATTTGAACGATAAAGAAAGGAAAAGTTTCAAGTTCAGCGGCTAGGACATAGGTTAGAGAGGGCAATGGGTGGGCATCACTCATTTCACTCTATCCCATGTGTTTCAAAAGTCGAAAGGCACGAAATTGTTAATAAGGCTTCCTTATCAAATTATGAGAGAAGATTTGTCTTTCCACAAAATGACATGAGAATTGTATCAAAGAGAGAGAGAGAGAGAGAGAGAGAGAGAGAGAGAGAGAGAGAGAGAGAGAGATGGTAAATAATGAGATAGAACATAATATTTCCAACTACTTCAAAGTATATGTTAAAAAAACTAGTCATAAAGATGCATATAGTCAAGAAAATGTTTTGAGCCATTTTCCGGTTCACTTGGATATGCAGTTTTAACTTCTGAGAATGCATTGTAAAGTAGGTTAAGTAACAGAGCCAAAGCAGCTGTCAGTCTATGATTCGCCTATGGTAGTACGTCCCTAGCGATTTTGCTAGCATGTCTAGGGCATCTCCCTACTCTAGCAAATGCCAGAAACATAAACAAAAACGAACAGGGGATCAGTTCCATAGAACGCATATGCCATGTGCAGCATTTTTTAATACAGAGAAGTGATTGCTCAATTACACGATGAAAAGTCCTGTGCGAAATGCGCATGGACATCGCTTGACAGGATGTCATGAGAAATGCCTTATCATCGTTCCAAATCATCTGCCTTGACATGAAAATAATCCCATTGATGATGACAGGACTTTTGCTTCTACAGATATCTCTTGGATGTGAAAAATGAAGAGTAAAAACAACTGATGAAACAGATTGCATATCCTTCACCCCTACAATACTTCACTAATGTACATCAACATCGTCGAGCAAAATTGATGATATTCAATGGCTTCAAAACTCATTCTTCACCGCACCACTGAGCCCCGTCATCCCTCCCCATATTCCCGCTTCTCCAGCATAATACAAAATTCAGACGAACAGCTGATGCCGCAATTAAATATGAACATATGCTAAGAAACAAACTCAAATCATCAAGCCATTACCATCTCCAATCTATATGCAAAAGAATATGCTAAAATCCATGACTAAGAAATAATTGAAAATCCAAAAATTGTATAATCACTACCTAATGGTAATAAATCATTTCAAAAGCATGATAAATAATGCCAATTGATAACATATCACACATGCATGTGAACAAAAACCATATTAGACCCCACCACCTGAGAATAAGCAACTTCTGAGGCCAACATGAACACACAAGCAAAACAATCTTTTGCTTAGCCATGTTCAAAATTTTCATGTCAAACTATCATCCTGTGCACATCAGCTAGTAGTTCTCCTTTCAATGCGGTTCAAAGGAGCCAACCAATAAACATACCACCTCTTCACCAACGTCCACTAAACATTATCTGGAAATGGTTCAAAATAGCTTCCAC